TATCCAGACAGAGCCCCAGGCTCCTTTCCTCCCCCTCTGTGCTACTTCATCTGGATATGGCAATCTAGATGAAATGAAGGTTGCAAGGTGTGGGACCAGATCTCACTCCATGCATTGGATGCACATAAGTCTCTGAGTTTGGAAACTTACATTCAGTGGGCCGGGGGCACTGCATAGTGGAAAACTTATTTCTTTTCTAAAACTTAGTGAGATCTATATTTCACTGACACCTAGTGTAAGCTTTGTTTTGGTTCTTAAAAATTTCAAATGGCTCTGGATTTAGTTCATAAACCTACAAATCTATTGTGAAAATGCACCCAACACATTTTATTTTACACCAAAATGGTTCCAGTACTGATTCTTCAGAGATCTCATAGTTCACATCCCTCCACTGTGAGAATTGACTATTTATTCCTTCTCTCTGCTTACAGGTCTTCCACTTTATATGTTCATACGATGACTTCTACTTTTAAGTTGTCCAAGAATTTTTAGTGTGAGATTTCATTCCACCATTCCCCTAGGTAAATATAGGTATTTCAGCTTCAGTGATTTCCTTACCTATCTTCCCATAAACATTGCTAAGAAAATTAAGAAATGTTCCAGAGCCTCCTTAAATTTTAATAATGCCAAACCAATGAGAGTATCAATCGACTTCACAAACCATGTACACACTCACAAGAGTTCTGTGGAGTGGCATTCATAACTGGGGGGCACTGAAGTAAATAACAATTTTCCAGAATTCAGCACAGTGCTCTTTCATACTATAAATAATTCAACACATTTCTCTGTCCTGACAAAACCAGGCGGTTTGGCATCTTACTTATGTATAATGTATATTTACAGAACTAGCCCTGTACCGAAAAGCCCGCAAATTCATCTATGACAAAACCAGCCATGCCCCAAAAGAGCATTAATGCCTTTACCATCTCCTTTAAAGGCACAGGTATGGGGCAGAGCCCTGGGAGAACTCCATGCCAGCAGCCAGATCACACAGCAGTGTAGCATTAGCACAGCTTAGCTGAAATCTGTGTAGTGGACCAGAAGGGCTTGTGTATTTTGGCTCCTCAATGAATTCATTGGAAGTATTTTAATTCATTTATACCATCTCTCACTGGCATAGGTCTGAAGGAATTTAGGATTAGGAACCTGATGCCTCCACAGCCTCTCTGATAGATGCACTGTGCTAGGAATATACCAGTGTAACATTCTGCCAGGTATCCTTCGCAATACACTGGTGTGCTGCTCCTGGGGTCAGTATATGTTCAGGTGGAGTTAATTTAGCTGCTCTAGCAAGTTTAGTTGGGATCCTGTGAGAAGCTTTTCATTCAGTGAAACGTGAACGTGTTTACCTCGTGCTCAGAATCATACAAGCCCCCTGGCTGTTGTATGTGTCCTGTTGAATGTTTTCCTCATTCCTCACCACCTTCTGCAAGCTAGCTCACTGCATCGTGTTATTGGGCTCTGAACTCAGGCCTGCCTAGAGATCTCTATATTTACCCCAGGTTTGCCTGTTTCTCAGGACATATGGTAGAGACTGAGCCCCTACACTAAGGCTTTCCCCACAATTCTCCCAGACACCAGCCAATACCCAGGTTGCCAATACAGATGTGGAAGTGTGCTCCTTTCTCCAATTAAACAGTCTCACACCTAGGGTGACCAGTAAACATGTCTCGTCACTAGAAACAAATCTGAATTAATGAACTCACTGCTCTTGCTAAGGCTAATATATCTGGAGCAAATCCCTGAAAAAATCAATCTGTATGTCCCTTGAAGAAAATGTAGTGATAACCAACATGGATTTCTTAAGAATAAGTCAAGCCAAACTAACCTAATCTCATTTTTTGACTGGGTTACCACCCAAATGGACAGAAGAAATGCAGTGGATATAATTTACCTAGATTTTAGCAAAGTCTTTGGCAAAGTGCCCCACAGCATCTGAATAAATAAATTAGTGAAATATGGGCTTGACATAACTATTCTTAGGTGGATCCACAGTGGCTTCAAAATAGGTCACAGAGAGTGATCATCAATGGGCACTTCTCAACCTGGAAAGAGGTTACAAGTGGAATATCACAGGGCTCAGTATCACAATACTCTTCAACATCTGTATTAATGATCTTGAGGAGGAAGTCCAGGGAACAATAATTAATTTTGTGGATGACATAAAACTGGGTGGAATAACTAACACTCTGGAAGCACCCCCCCAACTCCCCCCCCCAAAAAAAAACTCCAGGGTGACCTAGACAAGCTTTAACCCAGAGCAACAGAATGAAGTTCAAACTAGGACAAATGCCAACTTCTCTACCTATGCAAAAAAAAAAAAAAAAATCTAACTGCATTAATGCAAACTAGGGATAGATTTTTCAATAGTAATGAAAAAGTCCTTAGAGTTGTTGTAGGCAACAAGCTAAAAATGGGCCAGCAATGTGATGCAGATGGAAAAAAGGCAAACACTATTTTGGGATGCATAAATAAAGGTAGTACTTCCAGAAAAAGAGGAGTGATTATTCCCCTCTACTCTGAACTAATCAGACCTCACCTAGAATACAGTGTTCTGTTTTCGGCACCCAGGTTTAAAACAATGCTGAAAAGGTGGAGATAGTTCAGAAGAGGGCAACAAAGATGATACAGGGTCTGGAAACGTAAGTATTATGACGAGAGACTGAATGAACTGGGCCTGTTCAGCCTTGAGAAAAGACGACTACGAGGCGACAAGTTTTTTTCCCCCTGGCAGTCAGTGTCGTCTAGTGGTTAGAGTGTTGGGCTGGGACTCATGAGTTCCAGGTTGTTGTCCCCACTCAGCTGTGAAACTCAGTGAGTGTCAGCATATTGCGTTTCATTGCATTCTTGGGAGGATAAGATGGAAAGAACAGTGTAAGCCTTCTTGGTTTTTTTGTGGGAAAAGAGGTAGCATATAAAAATAATTCATCATCACCATCATTGGATAGTCTTATTTATCAGAAAGAATTCCAGGTAGCCATTCTGCCTTTTCTTTTTAATCATCTTTATTATTATTCATAGCTTCCCCCTCCTCATATTTTTTTTTTGTTGAAACTGTCTAGATCATTTCACTAAGCGTTAGCCAATGGTAAACATCTTTACATGAAATGTATTGCAAATAGCATTCGAAATGCATTCAATGACAATCAAGCATATGTATATGAGGCCCTTTGTATTAACACTCCTTTTCTGTCTGTGCTCCATAACTCAACTTCTGAATGCTCTGCTTTGTTGACATTTAACATCTCCAGTCCTTTCTCTTTCAATCACCCGAGTCTCCCACAACCCCATTACTGTCACTCCTGCTTTTCTCTGTACCCCAAGACATAGCCTTCTGTCTCTGAACAACCACGCTTCTCTCTGCACCCTTCTGTTCTTCCGCCCCCAGTTTGGCCACTTTGTCATCTCTATTTTTACTTTCCTATTTCTCAGGCTGCTTAACACCTTCTGCACAGAACTCAGCAGTGACACTTCAGTGATTTACTCTTCCAGCAATTCACACCCTTTGGGAATCACAGAAGCAGGTGGGCTTGTTAATGCCAGGAGGGTAGGGAGGGTTGAAGAGGGTTAGGAAGAATCATTCCAACTACACTGTATACCCCTGAAATCCAGGAAAGAAGCGCATTATCCTCTTATCACAAGCGTGTGAAGAGCTTGGGTAGCTTTAGAAGGTGTTTGTTTCACAAAACGATGGGAAAGTGCCACAAAGTAGTTATTTATTTGGACGCAAGGAGCATTCCTTGTGCTGGCACGCTTATAGATGGGAGGGAGCCACATTGCTTAGCATGATTAAATAAAGCTTATTTTATGTTGTGCAACCCTGCTACCTGAAAAGAGGAAGCTCCTAGGGAATAATTAGGTGGTTGCCTACTGAATATTGTGAAAACTGAGCAGGGCTTAATGGGCTGGTTTGCATGATTGAACAGCCCACTGTGGCTTATTTAATGGGCTGGTTCACACAACTGTACAGCCTGCTATGTAAGGGCAGTCATTCTGAATAGTTATTGCCCAGCTGGAGCTTGTGCCTGAACCTGGGTGGAAGAGATTGGGCAAATATAATTCAACATCAGGCCTGATGAATTATCACACAACCCTCCTGCCTGGGATCAAGCAATTTGACAATCTGCGGTCGGGTGCAGAATATTGCAATCCTGGTGGGTGGTTTTGCTCATACCTAGCCATCCTGTGCCAATACTCAGCAGGGCTTGAAACCGGCTAACTTATTTTCAAGCGCAGGAGTGCTTCACGGAACGTAAGTACACCACTGAACAAGCCAGCTGCAACGCACTTACAGCCATAAGCCCATTTGGGCGTAATTGGGGTCTCCATCCCATGTAACCTTGTCCAGCGTTCAGGCAGAATCTGCCTTATGATCTGAGCCTAACGTTGACGTAAGCCCTACTGACTTCAGCAGGGCTGATTTCCAGAGGCCTGCTTAGGCGCGGTCCACAAGACATGTTCCTCCGCAATCAGTCCCAGTGAGTCCAACGGGCCTTTTGCCCAAGTTGGCGCGCGCAAAAGATCGCTGGGGATGGAAAAGTCCAAGCTGGCTGGAGATGGGCTCGGACGCATTCCCAGTGAAGGAGCGGAAGGCCGACGACGCGACGGCTCCTCTTCATGCTGAGCGTGCAGCAGGTCGGCGCTCGGAAACTGGGGCAGGGCAGGGCAGGGCAGGTAAGCGAGAGTGCGTGCAGCCTGGACTCGGAGACGCCGCGAGGTCGGTGCAGCAATAACTTGCCTTGCGGCGAAAAGTGCAGAATGTGTGCATGTGTATACGTTTGAGTGTGTGTGTGTGTGTGTGTGCGAGAGAGAGAGAGAGAGAGAGAGAGCAAGAGAGAGAGCAAGAGAGGGCGTGAGGGTCCGGCTGGCTGGCGGGCAGGCGGGCAGGCAGGCAGGGAGCCTCCCCCTGGCCCTCCTCTTTTCCTTCCTCCTCCTCCTCCGGCACGGCGGCAGCTTGGGCCTGGGCCGGGCTCGGGCCGAGAGGCGGAGGCGCTCGGGAGAGCCCGAAACTTTGCAGAGCGGCCGTCGCGGCGGGGCAATGTGGCTGCTGTGGCTGCTCTTGGGCTCGGCGGGTGAGTGAGCGAGAGCCGGGCGGGCGGGCGGCGCGGGAGGGGGCGGCGGCGAGATCGCTGAGCCGTGGGGCTGGGGGCGGGAGGCACAGAGCTCCTACGCGGGGCTGCAGGAGGCGTGAGGTGAGGGGCGGCGCGGGGTGCTGGGATGCCGCGGCAAAGGAGGCACACGGCGGGGCCGAGCTCTCCTGCCCAGGCTCGCGGCAGCGGCCCCCGGCCACGCCACTCCGGCGCTCCGTCCCAGGTCGAGCGGGGGGGGGGGTGTTGGGACCCCCCGGGGGGGGGGTGGGGGTGTTGGGGACCTTCCGGGGGAAGAGCGGCTAGACCCGGTTCAGTTGTAAAAGTGCAGGAGGGACAGCCTAACCCTAGCCGTGCCGCAACATGCACCACGACTGCGAGTGTGATTGCTTCTGCTTTTTCTTGGGGTTTTCTGGGAAGTTTCGGACAACGCCGCTTAACTTGTTGCATTCGACTAGTCGTTGGAGGCTGAGTTTCCTTTGCCAGTGTGCGCGTCTGTTTATCTTCCCACCGCAGTTTGCGAGAGAGGCTGCTGGTCGCAGAGTCTTGCAGGTTCTCTCTCTCGTAGTGCTGGAGGGTCACTGCCACGTTCCTTTGAACGGTAATATTAAATCGCGGAACGTTGCTCGTGTCCTAAGTACTCCTAAGAAAGTAGCTTACAGTTCCTGTCTCTTCTAATACTTCCGTTCATTCGTTCGTTTTGATAACCTCTTTCATGAATAACAGAAACAGATCAAAGCTTGCAAAGTACTTTTGCCTCACCCCTCTTTGGAGCCTTCCAAAGTGTTGAGAGCCCCCCCCCCCCATTGCTACACACGCTTTGTTTAGAACAGACACACATGGATCTACATGTAATCCTAATATTTGTGTGTTTGCATGTGAGAGAGAAAGATATTTTCATGTCGTGCCTGTCACTGTCAGGGAATTTTGCTGAGATTTTCTCGGTTGGTAATCCGGTATTTTTAAAATAATATGCATGGAACTACAGGCCCTTCAGCCCCCATGAATCACTTTTTGATTTGTGTTTGTGGTAGTTTTTGCACTGTCCTTTTGTGGGGCGGGGGATTTGACTGTAATCATTTTTATAGCAGTGTGTTTCTTGTGAGACTGGAAAGGATCAGGCCAGCATCAATAAATCAGTCAAACTGTTTTGGGTTTTTACTCTGGTGAGAGCAGGGGGGGAGGAAGTCCTGTTTGTTAGAAAAGGGATGGCTACCAATATTAAACACAGATCTAATGAAAATAAGTATACTATAGCTGCTTCTGGAGTGAGAACTATGCAAGGCTACTTCAACTCAGCCATAACAATGTCTGGAGAGACCCGAAGTCAAATCTCCTACCCACTCATTTAGATACATGCAATCCAGACTACAAAGTGACAGGAATCAGGCATCAGAATCAGGTAACTAGAAGAGAGACATTTTAGTATGTGAAGACACGAGCACTGTATTAAGCCTTTGCAACTAGGGTTGGCACTGTTTGAGTCTGGCTGCAATCTAGGAACAAGGGCAGCTCCACAGTTAGGGACCTAGGAAGTTGCCTTAGACCAGTGGTGGCGAACCTATGGCACGTGTGTGGCAGCGGGCATGCAGAGCCCTCTCTGTCGGCATGCGAGCCAGATCGCCCCAGCATCACCCCAGCAGCCCAGCATCAGATAACAGTGCACATAGGGGCCATGTGCATGCTCAAAAAGGAGTGGTGGTGCCAGGTGATGATGTCACGAGCCATGACTCATTAGCCGCGACTCGTCCAAGCTTTCGAATGGCTAGTCAGTGCACTGCTAAGAATATTTATATATTTGCTTGGACTGGCTGTGAGTTGTTTTTTCTAAACTAAAACCTCAGTGTTCAGGTTTTATTGCAGTGTTGGCACATTTATTTTTGCAATAAATAAGTGGGTTTTGGGTTGCAGTTTGGGCACTCAGTCTGTAAAAGGTTCGCCATTACTGCCTTAAGACCATTAGTTCATATAGCCCACTGATTGGTAGTGGTACTGTAGGATTGCATACTAGATTCTTTCTTAGCATTACCTGGAATTAAACCTTGTTCTTTTGCATGTAGCTTCTCTTCCCAGACATGGTAGATACTATGCAGGTGCACCTGGGTTAATATGCTACCATTTTATTCATAGTTGTTTTTACAGCATGTGCAAAATCGAGTAATTCAGCTCATACTCTGTAAACTACCTGATGGTGTCAACACCTGATATATATAATTTTTTTTCCGAAAGAATTGGACTGAGGTTATGCTTGTGTCCAGTAAAAAGGCAACAACATTTAAGAGAGGCCAGTGTTGCTGCAGTTTGAAAGAAGACTTTCAAATCATCTGTGTTCTAAGAATCTCTTTTGTCATTTATTTATTAATACCCTACTTTTTTCTTACAAACTCAAAACAGCTTACAGTCTTTTTTCTCCATTTGCTCTTATCCCCACAACAACAATCCTGTGAGATAGGTTGAGCTGAGAGTCTGTAACTGGCCCAAAGTTGACTCCGTGGCTGAGCAGGGACTAAAACCCAGATTACCTCAATCCCACACTCTTAACCACTATACCACACTGACTCTCTTGTATATTATGAACAGCAAACAAGTCCAGCTGTGCTTTAACAGTAGTTGGGATTTTACACTCTTTTTGTGGGCAGAAGTTGACTAAGCAGTTATGCTGATGTTAAAGGTAAATAGTTTTTTGTTGGTCACAGCATTCCCACTTGGATTTTCTATTGATTTATCTTCTGTCTGTTTTTCCACTTCATAATAACTCTGAATGACAATAACACTTTACTACAGTTGGCAAAATTGGCTATGGATTTTGCTCTAGCAGCTTTGTGGTTTAAAGGTGTTTGTGAAGCTCATGTAGAATTCTTTTCTGTGCTAAATCATAATATGCTTTATTTCCAAGTGCCTTTATGTCATCTTTTGCTACATTATTTTAGAGAAGTCTAAAACCTTTGCTTTCATTTAAACTTTCCAGTGCCATATTTTAACCTGTACCCTTGAACGTAGCATCACAGATTATTATGCCATGAGCAAAAGTAAAAAGACATACATTTCTTAAGCCAGAGAATTGTCATACCTTTAAATCTCTCGTCGTCTGGATGTGCTGTTCTTACTTAGTTCATGAGTAAGTGCAGTTTTCTACTTGATAAACTTAGCAAGAAGTGAAGTAGCATTCTAAGATCTGTGCTGTCTGTGGCATTGGTTCTGTTAGATTATCAAGCATAGTCTGAATTATTTTCACCTCAGCATCATCTGAAGCGTAAATGACAGGAAATCTTATTTCATTGATGTGTGCAACCAATGTTTGCAGAATTCTTTGTTCTTTTATTGGCAACTAGTTGCTAACGATCAGTGTTGCATTTCCATGCAATAAATGTTGACAGCTCTGATTTCTTTGGATCTCAGAATGTGGAACACAAAAAGTTGGATCCAGCGTGCTATTAACAGTAGAACCACTGAAATGAGTGAGAGTTATGTTAGTCATGACTAAATTAACTCCCATTTGTTTCAATAGAACTACTCTCTGTAGAACTAACTTTGGATACCACCTGTTTTTGCTGGGTGGGCAAAGAGTACATACTGGTAAAACTCAGTATCTGAGATTCTTGTAGTTTAGATAATAGTTCTAAATCTTTAGAACAGAATAAACTATTCTATCTATATATGTGTGGTATCTTCCTCCTATTTTGTTGTATGAAAAGTTTTTCATAAGTGAAAATTCTCTTAACCTTGCACTTAGCTGCTAGGATTTTTCTTCCAACTTCTCATTTGCTGTATTCTAATAACTGAAGTAGAAGTCTACATACCATTTAACAATATCTCTTAATTTAGACTGGCTTTTTAAAGGAGAGTCATTCTTTATTTATTATGTATTATATCTGCCCCTTTTCTTTCAAGGAACTCAAGGTGGCTTCCATAATTCTCAACTACTCAGTCTTATCCTCACAACAACTACCCTGTGAGTTAGGTTGCTCTGAGAGTTTGTGACTGGCCCAAAGTCACCCATTGATATAGTAGTTTCAGTAGTTTCCCTGTGTTCTGGTTTTATAGCATTTCTTTGATATAGCCCTCCTTAATTTCTGAAATAGACATTTCAAAGATTGAATTTGAAAGCATGCTTAATAACTATTCTATTTTCATCATGCTGGTATCACATGTCAGTCTATTGGCCATTTTCAAACTTCTTTATTCTTGTTTATATGTCATTCAGGCCTAATGTACACATAAGGATGTTTTTCTGCAGTTGCTCAAGTTTTGAAGATGTAGGGTTAGATCCAGAGTTTCACAAAATAGAATTCCATGTCCTGGATACTGCCATGGATGTTAGAGGGGAAGCAATATTTACCAAATCTTCCTCATTCTTTAGCCCCCTATGCCACTGGATGGTTGGAGGATCCTCTGGAACAGTGTGGGGAGCAATTCCAGGAACTGTGGAGAAGGAGAGGTTTACAAAAATCACTTTCACCTCTGTTCCAAGATCGTCCATTTTGTTGACTAAGTGAAGAACTGTGTTAAGAGCATGTATCTGCTCGCAAACCCATGTGTCATCCGTGATACAACAAATACTATCCTCAAAACATACTTATTTCTCCCAGTGTCAGTACATTGTTTCAGAAATCACTTGTAGTTCTATCTTCCTGGCTTTTCAGTGAAGAGACTGATCAAATGTAAGCAGTGATGTAAATCTTGGTTGCCTTTTCTGAATCAGTGGTGAATGCCAAGGCTAATAAAATGCATCACTTGCAGAAAGGTCTCTTATTGAAAGAAAGAAAATTGTAGCTTTCCAGGGTGGTCTTTGTTCAAATGGATCTATTAGTATTTTTATCTTCTATCCTAGCCTGGGATATTTGAAAGGCATTTCTCAAATAAATGGTTAATGTGTCATTGACATTGCTACATGCCGAATAAAACCACACAAAGAATTCCAGATTAAACTCATAGTAGACTAATCTATTTTTAATTAATTTGGAAATATGAAAACTATAACCCCA